TGGGCGTCATAAATGCGAGGCACCCATCCCCTTTAATAAATTCCAACTACGCCAATTAATTACTAATTCTATCAGGATTCAAACGCCATGAGTCAATCCAATTGCCTCAGTATTCATTGCATGATAAGTGCCAGAAGTATAGCGTTCCACTCTTCACTATTTAGCCTACTTTCACCTTATTAATGTGCACATGCTTCTCTCAATGCTGTAAATCAAGAACTTCTGTTTAATTCACACTATATTCGCCAAATGTCGCTATAATCTTATCTGCGTGCACTTTGGCTATTATAATAAAAAGTGACTTTAGCTCTTGTAGACTTAATCCCCATTTATCCTTCTTTTTAATTGATTCTTAATATCTTATAAAACAGGGAGATCTTAAATGTGTAAACCAAAACTAAATCTCAACTCAAAAACATTCACAGATCTTTGACCCCCTCCACCAACACCCAACCCCCCCGAAATCGACGACGACTGCGCATGCCCCCGATGCCTTGTCTCACGCCCTGTTATTGCTCCAGCCCCTCCCGGCGCCGGCGTCACCGCCAAATCCGCCGCACCCTGCCCCCGCGTAGCCCGCGTCGGTGGTGGCGGTGGCGGTGGCGGTGGTGGGGAGGATGTTGCGCCGCGGGTGGAGTTGAGGCCGCGGGTGCGGGTGCGGGTTTCGCGGGTGGGGGCTTGTGGTGGTGGTGGGTCGGTTGGGGCTGTTGAGGAGGTGGTTGTTGTTTGAGTGTGGAGGTTGTTGCGGCGGGTTTCGCGGGCTGGCGGAGGTGGCGGTGTCGCGGTGAGCGGAGCGTTCGCGGGTCAGGCGCAGTTAGATGGGTGGAGGTTGTTGGATGGTGCTGGCGTGGTGGTGGTGGCGGGTTTCGCGGGGGTTGGGGGGGGTTTCTGTTGGGAGGGGTTGGGAGGCCGGGAGGAAGTTGTCGTCTTGTGGTTGGTGGTCGCGGTGGAGGTGGTGGTGGTGGTGGCGGGGGTTGTGGGTGTGGTGGTTGTCGGTGGACCCCTCGCTCATGTCCTCCAGTTCGGCGTCTAGTTCCTCCTCTTCGTCTTCCTCGTCGTCGTGCGGATGAGAGAGATGAGCAGCGCCAAAGACTTGCCCTCGGCCGAAGCTGACGCGGGCGGCCTGGGACTGGGCCCTTGCGTAGTAGGATGTCTCGGCCTCCGAGTCGTCGCTCTGTTCTTCGTCGCTGAACTGGTGCTCTGCTGGGCTGGTGAGCACCCTGGTGCCGTGGAAGTCTATCCCGCCGCCATTGTTGGTGCTGTTGTACCGCCCGGTGGATGGCCCAGCGGTTGGTGTGGCGGCGAGAGCAGCTCGGCGGAGAGCAGCTGCTGTTGAGGAGGTGTCGTGTCGGGTGCGGGCGCGGGCCTCGGCGACTTGTTGGCGGGCTTCGAGCTCGGCAACGCGCAGGCGTTCGGCGGCACGGTCTTCGTAATCGGCGATGTCCTCTGGGGTGAGTGATAGAACGGTGGCAGGACGGCGAAGCATGATGGTTGGTAATAGATGTTTGTGTGTGGTTGTCCGGGGGATTTAGAGTACGAAACTTGATCAGATTTGATGGTCGAGTATCGCGGGCAGGGCGCGGGGCGGAGAAAGTTCAAAATGGCGGGGAAAAAAGACTTGTTTTGAGGGATGTCAGTTGCATACGCTTGTGTTATCCGATAATGTCCTATATACTCAATAAATCTGTGCGCGTCTACCTACTCGAGGTCCTTCGTTCAAGAGCTTCAAACCCCTCTGCGTGTTTCTTGTACGCAGCACTTGGGACAGACCCAGCATCTGATGTTTCTCATCAGTCCCGTTCGAGAACAAGCAAAACCAATGATTGGCCAATGAAGTGATATGGATCCACATAGTCACGTGGATTCGCGCAGCCGGATTCTTGGCATCTGGATTTCCGGGTTGCGCCAAGCCGCCCCCCCGGCGTCTCGAAATGCATTCAAATCGCCAGATTCAAACGCGTTTGAACGACTCCATTCAATGCGCCGCATTTTTATTTATTTCCACGCAAGAGAAAACAATGAATCCAACCACGATAAACTTACACCGCCTCCAACCATTACATCTCCTCCACCACCCCTCATAGCTATATAAAGCCTCGAATTGAAATGGCTATTTTTTGACGATGTTTTAAAGCTACAATTTCACCAAATCCCGCCTCTCCTAGCGGTAGCAGTAGCGGAATGGTACCTTCTGTATCATCATTTCTACTAGCAAGCTGGATCACTATTGAATGTTACGCTAGATGCCCTTGATAAAGTGTTGTATAACTCGAGTAGGTAATCCACCGACAGGCGACGAGTGTTCGTGCTGCTTTGCGACTTTTTAAATGTATAACTATATGAAGATTATCAACCGGATCTATGCAGGTACTTAATGATTAAGCCTAACCTCCATGTCCGTCCCTGTGTCCCCCGTTCCTTCTTTTCCTCTCCCTTTAAGCCTCTTCATCGCCTCCCACCACCAAACTCACGTCGCCCTCGTCATCGCTAACAACTTCGTCATCAAAAGCCTCATCATGGTCGTCACCCCCGCCAATTTCGTTAGCCAATTTCTCTGATGTCGGGCTGCCGTTGATGGCGGGCTTTGTTTCCGAGTCTGATTCCTCGACGTCCGGATCATGGTCGTATCCCTTGTCGGAGAAGTCGTGGTTCGGGTGCACCGCGTCCTTGGCCCGGTAACACTTGAAGCACAGCTTGTAATGGTCGCAGGTGGTGCATTGGAAGTACACGCCTCGTATTTTCTGTTCCGGGGTTAGTTAGCTCGAGATGTGAGTGACTGTCCGGAGGGGTGGGACCGAAAGAGAAAAGAAAGAAAAGAAAGAAAGAGTAGGGAAAAGGAAACTTGCCAGTTCACAAACATCACAATAGAGTTCGGCGATGATAGCACCCCTTCTCCTACTCTGGCTCGCCCTCGCCGTCGCCGGCGTTTCCATACTCGCCAACAGCTCCGCCGCCTCATCAGCCCCATGGTATATCGCGATCTCTTTCGCCGACCAATTCTTGTTCTCATACAAGCCCTCGCCCCTCACGTCCGCGTCCGCGCCTTTCTCCAGCAGCATCCGCACCATCACGAGCGCGGACGGGTCCCTATCCTGGTGGCACCACAGATTCATGGCCCGGGCGGCCCACAGCAGCGGCGTCCATCCGTCGTTATCCGCCTCATCGACCGAGACGCCCGCGTCGGCCGACCGCGACAGCACTTCTTCGAGGAGGTCCTCCAGCCCGCTGAGCACGGCGTAATGCAGCGGCAGGCGGCCCAGCTTGTCCTTGATGGCGAAGTGCTCCGTGGGGACGTTGAGCGCCCGGAGGGCGTCGAGCGAGTTGTAGCACGCCATGTGGACGGGACGACGGCCCATGGGGTCGGCCCCGTTGATGTCGGCCCCCTTGTCCAGGAATAGCTGGATTATACCCGGCGATGAGGCTGAAGAGGCAGCGTTCAGTGCGAAGCCGTAGCGACCGGCGGGGAGCGTCACGATGGCGTTTTTGGAGACGAGGTGGCGGATGATGGCCTCGCTGTCGGAAGGGGAAGAAGGGGATGAGGGATTGTAACCCTTGCGGACGCAGGCTGACATGAGTGGGGTGCCCGAGGTGCCGGTGCTGCGGAGGTTGGGGTCGGCACCTTTGCTGAGGAGGATAGCGACCATTTTCGACGTCGGCGTACCCGGCAGGCCAGATGGAGCGGGATGCTGTTGTCGCCGCCAACGAGGTCGAGGGTGCGGAGCGCCGAGGGCTTGGTGAGCATGTATTTTACGACGGCGAGGTTACAGCGTTTGACAGCCTTTGACAGCGGGGAGTTTCCCTTCTTGTTCAAGGCATCGAGAGCACAGCCGGCATTGACGAGCAGCCGGGCGATTTCGACCGGACCGCTCTCGGTAACGCAATGCAGGGGAGTATCGCCATCTACGTTACCATTGTGCAGGTCGGGCCGGAACTCGAAGAACCATGCGGACCGCGTCAACATGGTTAGAAAGGACGGCAAGCGAGAGCAGACTCAGACCCGTTGGGTGGTCGCAGTCCTGGTTGACGTCGACTCCGGCTTCCAAAGAGGAGCCTGACAATCTCGTGCTTGCCCGCCCGCATCGCGCCCGCAAATGTCGACCTGAAAGTGGCCAACGAGAAATCGGGTTTCTCGGGGGACTCTTCGAGCATTATTTGTACCGCGGTAGTCTCTGTGTTCTGTTCCACGGCAAGGTCGAGCGGCGTGAAGCCATCCGCGGTTCTCCGTAGGTCCGCCCCGTGCTTCATCAGGGCGCGCACCGCTTCTGGGTGTTTAACGGCCAAGTGTAGGGCCGTTTTTTTCGATGCGCAGGCCATGTTGACCTCGGCCCCGGCAGCCACAAGCTGGTTGATGAGGTCAACATCCCCCAAAGTACTGGCCGCACAAAGCGCGCTCAAGCCGTCAGAGGTCTGAGCGTTGGGGTCCGCTTTATGGGCTAGGAGTAATGCCACCATCTCCTTGTGCCGCTTCTCAACGGCTACGTAAAGGGGTGGGACCGTGCCTGCAATATCTGGCAAAGTACATGCCTTGTTAATCTCTGCGCCGTGATTCAGGAGGAGCTCAGCAATTTCGGGTAAGTTGTCCAAAGCCGCCCGACCAAGAGGTGTCCTTCCCAATGCAGTAGACATGTTGGCGTCGGCGCCCTTCGATAGCAGGAGACGGCAAATTTCGATATTTTCTCCAAATACAGCGTGGTAAATCAGAGTACCAGTGGTAGAGGTGAGATTGACGTCGACGCCGGGCACAAAAGCAGCCTCAAACGTCTTGAGGTAGCCATTCTCTGCGGTACGTATGACTGGGTCGTTGAATCCGCCACTCGTAATGTAGTCTCGATACGGGCTATGGGCGGCCAGCATCTTGACGATGGCGTGCTGGCCCCAGTCGGCCGCGCCCTGAATAGCAGTCCAGTCGGAGCCGGTATTAACGACAGCCCCATTCTCTAACAAGAGAGCCAGAGCCTCATCCGACCCATAGTCGGCCGCTATATTCACCGCCGGCACACCCCTTCCACCCTCATAGTCACAGCACGACACGTCCGCCTTGACCCCAACATCTAGGAACGCCTGGACGGCAGCCGGGTGATATCTCCGGACAGCTAGACTGAGTGGCGAATGCCTGGGCAGGAAGGTGCAGTCGGAACTTTGGTCCGTGTACGGTCCGGGGTCTCCAATCAGCCGTATGACATCGTCAAGGCCATCCCAAGCGGCCCTGCCCAGGATGTTATAGAGGAATGGACGCTCTTCCATGTCGCTGAGATCCTCCTTAGGAATGCGGCCAATAACCTCCCTGAGACATTCGCCACCTCCACGAGCCGCTGCCTCGGCGTACTTCTGAATGTTGACGTCGTGGAGGCCAACTTCAAACTGGGCTCCGTTGGGGGGGAGGAGGAGGCGTAGGGATTCCAGGTGGCCCATTTCCGCCGCCTGGACGAATGCCTGTCGGTAGGATGTACTATGCAGAATGACCCCATCCTTGAAACTTTCGACGAAGTCGTCCAAACCCAGGTGTGCTGCGATTTGGAGACGCGTTTCAACTTGGTCCAATATATGGAGACGGTCGGCAAGCTCGCTGTATGTCTGCCACCAAGCGCCCCATGCGGTTGCATCTTCAAAAAATATCGATATCTCGGCATGGATAGATTCTATGGCCTCTTTGTCGAGACTCCGAGCGAGTTTGTAGTGAGTAGCCCAGTGCTGGGAGGCGTAGCCAAGGGCCTTTAGCGGTGCATCGGACTTGAACGTGGTCAAGAAGTCAAGACAAAACTTCACAATGGAGAGGTGGCGTTGAACTTCGGTGCCCAAACAAGCATACCACTCCCTACCCTCTGCCTCTTTCCCGTCGTCTGGAGTTGTGTTTTGGTCAAGTTCTGACAAAAGCCATCGTCTGATAGACCGGTTGACCAGGCGGATCTCTCCGTTGCGTTCTTCGACGAGGCCGCCGAAAACCCGCAACTGCTGGAGATCACTTAACCCATATTTCCCCCCGGAGAATGAGCCAACGCTCAGCTCACTCTGACCGTCCTCTGCATGAGTCATGGCAGTGGCCAAGTCGGAAAGGAACAAAAATTCTTTGATTTTCAACGGCCGAACAGTCGTCAAAACCCATGTAAAGATAATCCGTGCCCAGGAATGCTGTCTCTGGGGCAGACTGCTAAGAATGGCGCGGTAAACGGCTTCTGCGGTTGGCTCCGCCGCCGCTAATGTTGCGAGCCACTCCCGCACTCCTGAATTTTGGAGTCCGCCACGCTGCTCACTTAGCCAGCCGGTGATATGTGTACGCAAGTCCGGCCGGTCTTTGTACCGTACGGTGATGACATCTTTGATCTGGTGTTTAATGTTGTCGGTGGTGTACTGGGGGTGTCGTTGAAAGAACATGGACAGCTGAAATGCGATATCGGTAGTATTTTCCGATCCTGACTGCCCAGAAGAAGAGTTATTTATTGCGCTAGTTCCGTCTAGTTGGACCCGTTCATAGTAGTTGGGCGCTGCTTTGGGTAACGCCTCGAGTAGGCGCTCGTCGGCACCCGTGCTCGTTGTTACAACAAAGCGGAGTTTCCTTTCGGTCTTGCTGAAAGTGAGCCGAAGTTGGTTGAGGAAGGCCAATGATGAATCGTCGCATTCGTCAAAGTTGGCGAGAATGACGATGTAAGTGGCTGTGCCTCGGAAGAGAAGGTAGTCTTCCAAGTACGAGTACAGGTCTTTCGCGCCCCAAGCGTGGAGTGCCTTGAGTTGATCCGCCACCAATGTGGCGCAATAGTTGCGATTGGACATACTGTAAAAGGCCATCGTGGAAATCAGTGTTCGAAGCCAGGCGCCCACATTGTTAAATCGAAGATCGGTCGAGTCGAATCGGAAGTGAAGGACATCGACATAATCCCTCTTGTGATTCCGGATATGGGTAACCAAAGCGTCAGAAATAGAAGCGGCGATTGCCTCGTCACATTGTATATGCAGAATCTGGCTGGACTTGGAGGCGAGGAGCTTGTCTAGAGGATCCTGGGCTGCGAATGGCAGTTGGGAATCCAGGTGCGCCAGGGGAAATACGGGAGAGGCTCCGGAACTGAACTTGAACCATTGGTTCATTTGATCTTCTTCAAGGCCGGGAGCTGCGGTATCGGCAGTTGTTAGTGATACAGTAACCTTCGCAGTATTATTGATACACACCTTTCCAATCGGCGTTTATCGCCTCTTTCAAAGCCCCGGGACCCGTGGTTCCTATTTTGATCAGGTCGAGATGAGGTTCGTTACTAGTTATGTCATGCTCGAGACTCTTGCCAAAACAGACAGTGCTGGCTCCGAACACTCGCTTTCTCTCATCCTTGTGCTGCGAGGCAATCGATATTATTCTTGTCCGGACAACAACGCCGGCGTGGATGAAGTCGCCATTTACCTCGACACATGTCTCGGCAAGACTCGCAGCTATCCTCCGGACACGGCTGCGGGGGAATAACTCGGATCGCAGATTGACGAGCAAAACGAATTCCTCCGTGAGATCACATGTAGCCGACCGCGCGGACACATGGGGATAGCCGAAAGTGATCTGTTGCGAGAGTTTAGTGAAATGGACGTTCAGTACACGGAGAATCCTGGGGTTTAGGCGCCATACCAGGGCGTTGACTTCTCTTTGAAGGGCCTGGAAGTCACCTCGGTGCGATCTTGGTGATGCCAATGCCTGTATTGACCAAAGGGTTAGCACACCACCTGCCCAGACGCTGTCATGGGCGTTCTCCTCACAGCTTTGACGATCAATCCGCCTATATCATGGGTTACGAACACGATCGGTCTGTTTTCGACACCTTGGCGATGCTGCTGCAGAGCCCTCAGCAGGCTCGTCGCTTCTTCCTCAACCCCTAGACGTGTGTAGTACTGCCCCTTTTCATGATTGGTTTCGTAGTTGAATGTCATGAGTCTTGCATTCTCGAAACGAGCAGGTAACCAACAGTCATCGGTTGTCTCGAGACTGGACTTGTCTATGCCCCATGCCGTCGCATCGCCATGAATTCCATGCACTGCTATCACGCTATTGGCATACTCGGTCAGTTTCCGGGTTGATAGCCCCAGACCCCTGGTTCTGTCAAGAAGATACCAATTTGCCTTACTCGTAATCAGCCGAGTCGTTATCGACATGTATTTTCAGTCCCAGTGTCTGTTTGGGCTTGGCTGGGCCGGGCTCGGACTTGACACCAGGCTCCGACTTGGGCTCCAGTGCGTCTACAGCCGCGGCAGGGGTCAAGTCAGCCGTTGGTAGCCCATCACTCGAGTCGGGGTTGTCGGACATTGTTGACGACTGCACGTGGACGACCCGTGTCGAGTTGCGACGCGTTCAGCTCTAGGTTGCGAAGCAGCAGGTCGTGCTGGAGAACGGGTGATGACAGCAAAGCCCGCCGCGGCAGAAGCCTGCCTTGCCTGCCAGCCTGCGTTACCTGCCATGGATGTCGGTGCCATCAAAAGAGATGGCGCATGCATGTTCGACGCAGCACCTGCAGCAGCCTGGCAGGTCGTGCGGGGTATTCGTAGTGGCATGTCTGCATCGGTTTATACCCATGGCATTTCACGTATTTACGGCACACAGCTGTCAGTTACCGTTGTGTGAAACATTTCAGCTCTGACCCCTCCTCCCAACCAACTAAGGTAGGTAGTTATCTACGTTTTAAAAAAGAGGCCGTCACGAGCTACCGTAGGAACCGTCACCGCATACCGTAGCACCACCCCACAACGCCCACCGCCTACCTAGTAAGGTAGGCGGTGAAAATAATCGCTCACCGCCTTCGCGATGCGCGCGCAGCGCTCGTCAATTGCCACAGTGCAATCAATCGCAGCGCAATTCAGCGCAAACAGCGATGCTGGCAGCGCTTGCGCGTCGCCCCGCGCGCTCGTATCGCTGTGCGCATCGCTGTGCGCATCGCTGTGCGCGTCGGAGTCGAGCTCTGAAAGCGCCATATCTATCGCTGGTTAGCCCTGTAGAGCGCGCGAAACAGCTGGGGCGCTTACTGAAGGTACGCGCGCAGCGCAGTTGCAATGGCTGTTGGTGTGCGAGGGTTGGTGGTGATGATGATGCGTGCACGCGCGCAGAAAGCTGGAAGTGTGGCAGAATTGCCGAAGGCGGGGCGGCAGAATTGTTGCGCGAGGCCAGGGTTAGGGATTTGTGTGGGCAGAATTTAGGCCTACGGTATGCGGTGACGGTTCCTACGGTAGCTCGTGACGGCCTCTTAAAAAAAAGACCTCGGGCGCCACCCGCACCTCGCAACGAGAATATAAATCCATATCGCCAATATTCTCAACGTCCCGGCTTCGCCCCTTCCGTGGTTTCTTAGGCTCCCATCGCGGATTGAAGAGAATCGGATCATCCAGCGGCTGCTTGGCGCTGAAGCGGAAGAACGACCCTAGCTTAGTGGCAAGGTCCGCCTCGGCCTCCAATGTGACCATGGCCTTGTACGGCTCCTCGTCCTCTCGCTTCAAGAGAATAGCGACCCGGAGTGTGTCTGGCACTCCGGTCTCGCGCCGCCTATTCTCGAGGAGAGTCCACACAGCGCATGTCGATAGGCCCGAGTTCCTCCCCTCTCCCAGATTGATGGAACCCGTAACGGTTGTCGCATCGCTCAAGTCGCGAGTGACGGTCTTCTCCAGCTTGGCGTTCACCCCACCATCCACAAATGGAATGCCAGACGCGGCCACATGGAGCTCCGCGCCCCGAACAACTTCTTCCTGATCAACCGTGGGCGCCACACTCCAGCGCTCTTCCGGGGCAATGGCAAAAACCTCGGGCGCGTCACGGTCGGCTGATGACGAGAGGAACTCTATGTTGATCCGGACACGACGCAGTCGTCGAGAAGTCTTTTGAGGGTCGAAGCGGAAGCGGAGGACCATCAGCGTTGCGTACTCATCATCTCTCGATTCCTGTAGCCAGCCGTGAGACACTTCCATGAGGTCGCATCGGATATCGATCGCCGTTTGAGTTCGCTCAATAACGTTGCGTCGCTCAAAGTCTTCCGGCGAGGCATTTTGCGTTCTGAATTCGGAGTCGATTTCACCAGGAGATAAAGATAGTCCAAACGACGAAAGGGGCTCGTCTGCTTCAGGTATGACACTGGTTTCGTCGACTTCTGCCATCTTTAATACGCCAACCTTCAAGTATGCCCAGTGGGATGTGTAGGTTGGGATGACGAGAAGAAAAAAGAACAACCTGAGTTCGCAACACTATCCGAATGGGATTTCGGTAAAGTTGTATTAAAAGATACCTATCCCGTCCCAGTCATGCATTTCAATCATATATCGCGCTTGGCTCGCTGCAACGAGTGCTTTTTCGAGGCTAGGGGTCACACAATCCCACACCAGCTCCAATCATGTTCAGCAGAGCACCTGCACTGATCGAGGTTAAGACGCGGGTGAGCCGCAAGCCTCCTTGGGTGATTGGTGGAGGGGGGGTGGGATTGAGCCAAGTCATGCTCCTTACTTCCCACTCAGTGCTCGCGTCCAGTCACCAACGAACCCCAAGTGTCTCCGCAGAGCCTTGTTGAATTGGACACATGACAAGAGAATCAGCATCGCGGAGACGTCAAAATGATCGCACGTCAGGAGCAGCCACTGTCGAACCAGACGGATGATGAGTCGGATCTGGACCTGGGGGACGACAACGACTTTCCAGAGACAGCTGAGATATCCGGCGGGACCGAAGATGAAGTCAAAAAGGCCTTTGATCGCGACCTCAGGGACGCCCGCGACTTTGCGCGGCAAACCTTTGCTAACGATAAGGAGAAGAAAAAGGCACAGATGGAGTTTGTGAAGATACGACAGGAGGGTTGGAAGCGACAGACGGAGAAGGAGCGGCGAAACTTTTTACACGTCCTCGCCTACTACGACCACACGCAACGGCCTACGCTACAGTGGCTCATGGTTCGGGCCATCCTGAAACTTCCCGAACTCATGCGCGTCCTAGACAGCTCGAAACGGACGCCATTGACTGTCGCGCTTTCCGTCGGAAACGAGATGTTCGTCCATGCCACGTGTAAGAACGTTACGGACGAGACTCGGAAACGCATTGGGGAGTACCTGAAAGCCGAGTGCGTCGAGCACGACAATGACCGCGAGATCACATGCCTTCATGTCGCTATCTCAGCCAACTTCAAGCCTGAGCTCACGGCCATCATCATCAGTTTCGTCCCAGAAGAGATGTTCTCTGTGGTAGACTTCAAGGGTCGGACTCCTCTTCACCTCGCAGTCGAGTTTGACAAGTGTTGCAAGACCCAGATCAGTATCGTAACCCAATTGTTGCATCGGGGTCCTGCTGCTCTGGACGTTCGGACGCTACCGGATTTGTGGAAACGTACTCACTCAGTCTTCCAGCACCACGAGAACACGCGCCGGGCTGCCGAGAACACATCGCAGGCCCGGAACGCAATGAAGAAGAGACAGGAGGATGCTAAAAGAGCCGACAGAGAAACAGACGCGAAGATCAAAGAGGCAGTGGAAATGACGACAGCGCCAACCAAATCTCTCCACGGCCATGGGGAGCCACGGTCTACGGCAGCGCCGGGGAGGGCTATCATCGAGACTGGGGGCCACGGGATTGGTGGGAAGAGCTTCGCCCCCGGGGCCGCTTCTCCCGTCCCCCACGGCTCCGGCAAAGCCCCACCTCCGCTCTTGAGGGTTGCTACGGTAAACTTGGAAGTGGCGGGTGGGAATGAGAGTGGGAGTAGAGGGCCGAGCTCGCCTTCAACGGCCAAGGGGATGGGGCCGCCCATAGACCGAGAGCAGGAGCGTGGAGAGAGCGCAGACGAAATTAAGGAAATGCTGAAGATGGTATACTTGCGCGTGAAAAAGCCGCACGAGGCTGCTCATTATCTCCACATTCAGGACGAGAAAGGTATCCTGTGCCTCTGACATCACGGAAGTCCCCCTACTGCTATGACAGAGTACTGACGTTGCATGTATAACAGAGAAGGAACTGTGGTTCGACTTTGGGCCACCAAGGGCTAGCAGCATCACTCAGGAAGAATTCCGCAAACACTTCGGCCATCTCCAGTTTGACAAGGTGCTACAGTATGTTGCATTTCCCCGTGTCGAGCTAAAGCAGCAGGGCGATGCCTTGCCCGCGAGCGAGTGGAGTCAGGGCCGGCGGGATATGACCTTTTTCTTTGACTGGCTTCGGAGGAAGGGTGTGCAGCGTATCATAAAGGTCATTGTGGACGACATTGGGCTCCCTCCTCATAGTGATGAGGCGATCGAAGAGGCGCTTCAGCCATTCGGCCCGGAGATTTTGGACTGGAGGAGACTCGACCTCGACCCAGTCACGCTGCAAAGAGTTGGCAAGAATCTACGCGAGGTGCATCTTCAATGGAGCGGCAGAAACACGGTACTCAGATCATGGAGCGAGGCGGAAGGTCTAGCCAAGACGCCGACTCTCGAATCGATACACATCCTTCAAACAGAGGTACGTCCCAGATCGCATCCACGTCTTCGGACCTATCTTCAAACCTTGACGCGCGCTAAGCGACATAAACGCCAACTAGGGCCTAAGCTCCAACGAACGAACAAAGAAAAATCTCTCTGACTTCAAAGACCGGCTCTACGCATCATGGCCCGAGGACCGGCCGAAGCCCACTGTTCACTTGCCGGAGGCTGCGAACACCAGCCGCTCACGAGCATCCGGACAGCCCGGCGCTTTCCAACCGTCCCAGCAACAAGAGCCGAGCATCGACCCTCATCGTTGGATGCAATGCATGGAGGAGTTTGCCTCATGCTTCCGGCAAATCAAGGGCCTCAACGACCAGCGCAGCGAGCCGGCCCTCAACCCCGTCACCGTGGCTCTCATTGATGATGGCGCCGATATCACCCACCCCGAACTCAACGGGAAAAAATTTCGCGGGAAGAGCTTGCACGAGTATGTCGACGGCTCCGGTTGGCGCGTCTCGCCGTACTGGCACTCGGCAAGCGGGCACGGCACGCTCATGGCGAGGCTAATCCATCGAATCTGTCCGAGCGCCATCATCTACATCATCAAGCTCCAAACCTGGATACCTGTGGGATCAAACAAGCTGCAGATCCAACCTCAGAGCGCCATCCAGGCAATCGAACACGCCATCGAACAAGGGGTCCAGATCATCTCCATGTCTTGGACCATGAAACCCCCCGAAAGCGCTCCCGTGAGAAACGCCTTCGACACGGCCATCCACCGGGCCAAGGGGATCCTTTTATTCTGCTCGGCCAGCGACCAGGGCAAGTTCCAGGACTTTACGTACCCGCACGCTTCCAATCCCAACGGCAGCTTCCGCATCGGTGCCGCCAAGAACACGGGCAGCATGGCGGATTTTGTGGGCGACGCCCACGAGTTGAACTTTATACTGCCAGGGCACAATGTTGTCGTCAATGACCGGGCATACGCCGACGTCAAGGACAAGGACTTCCAGGAATTTGCGTCGCACACGGGCTCGTCGGTTGCGACGGCGCTGGCAGCGGGCCTCGCGGCGCTGGTGATGGAGTGTGTGAGGTTGGGTGTGTTTTATACCGAGGAGATGAAGCTGTGGGAGCCGAGTCTTGCCATCCACAAGGAGGACTTGTTGGCCATCAGGGACCGCGACGCCATGGGGTACGCGCTCTCGTCCATCGGCGTGAATAGGCAGACGGATAACAAGTATATTGAAGTGTGGGACACGTTCAGCGGTGTGGCGCAGAGGCTGAAATATGAGAACATGAGGCAGGATCAGCTGGAGATTATTGCTGGGCTGGCGAGGATGTTTTTAAGAAAAGGTGTGAAAACTACGGGGACCACCATGGGCTACTAAGGAGGCCTATTAAATTGGAGACACCAAAGACCTGCAACGCTCGGAGGCGCTGATAAGTATATTAGGTGGCACGGAGGGTACTCTGCGTTTTCGTGCTCTGGCCCTGCCGTGATTTTCACAAGCTTGATACCCCCCGGCCCCAACCCAACCCCAACCCCAAACAAAAACCAAGAAAAGCGAATCGCCTCGGATTTTCTGTTGCATCTCGCATTTCCCATCCCAATTCCCACCTCCTAATCCCTAGCCAATACACACTCGCGCCAAGTAGTTATCGCAACGCGAACCTCACCGCTCACACCACTGACGTCATAGCCACCACCACCGACGTCGCGAGCGCGGCCACAACAGCATGTAGCAGCGACACCCGCAACGGCGGCGCCGCGTTCGTGGCCTTGTGATACATGAGGCCGTTCGACTCGTTGAGGTTCCGCTTGTTGGCGACCAAGCAGGCGCTGAACCCGTTCGACACCACCGAGTTCGACGCGCCGTTGGCCACATCCACGTCGACTTCGCACCACAGCCAGCATTTCTCCACCACGTGCACCGCGTACGGCTCGCAGCAGTTCACCATCCACGGGACTGAGGCGTTCTGGCCTGGGATGGCTACCCAGCTGAGGTTGTTTGGGATGGAGGGGAAGTCTCCCGGCATGCTGGCTGGTGGGCAGCCGTTGTCGGGTTGGGTGGACATGTTGATGTTGGCGGATAGTTTCGTTCGTTGTGTTGTGTTGTGTGTTGTGTATGGTGGGTGAGAGGATAAGATGTGGTGGGTTTCGCTGTAAGTGAGATGAAAGAGGCGTCAAGATGAGCAGAGGGAGAACACAAACACCAAAACCCGCTGTTGACAGCGATTTATAACTCCCGGCTCATCGGGACCTAACCATGGAATAAACACTTGGTCGCTCGCTGCCTTCCCATCGCCTGGTTCCAACGCCGCAACACTGCCCGAGCAAACCAACAAATGCCACGGACGAGGTAGGTATATTTGCAGATCATTCGCCCCACTTACATCACACTACTACTTAAGAGTCTCAGATGACCATAATTGGAATCCTTCGCACACAGCCTTGTCCGTGCTATCTTCCAAGTCCACCACGACCACAGCATCGTGCCAAACCAGCACTGTTACTGACCTGAGGCTGGAGCTGGGCCGTCCTTCAGAAGGAAGCCATAACAGCCGTTACATAGGAGCTTTTCCCAGTTTCCATCTTTCGTGACCACCAACCGTGACGTTTTCTCCTTGGTGCAGCGGTCGCAGGTGAATGTCGTGATCTTGGCGAGTCGGAATTGTTGAAGAGCACCACTACGGATCGGGTACTCCTTCAGCACCCCAAACGGGGGTGGCTTGACGTCTTGGTCACTGGCCGCGGCGGTAGACATCATGTGTGGGTATGTCCGGAGCTGCCGCCTGGGGTCTGAGGTAATTCTGTTCCGTTTGATGATGCGACGGAGAGGCGGCCGTCAATACTACCTTTGTTGTTTAGGCTTGGATATGGTTGAAGAATGGGTTTGCCTTGAACAACGGAATGGTTTAGCCGTTGGTTTCCACTACAGCTGTAGCAGTTGGGGTAAGCATTGCAAGCGAGTAGAGAAATGGGCGTGGCTCAAATATAAAATGAATAATGACTGAATGATCTAAATCATGCAAACGGGGTAAACTCAGGGCGGCTGGCCGCGTTTTGCTCCTCGTATATTTGTACGTATGTAAAAAAATATAGATTGCTCCCTTCCGCGTGCGACGTGCTACTACCGTGTTTGCTAGCGGCTTTCCCTGCAGCATCCCATCCGTCTTTTCCCGAATGCTCTCAGTCAGTAACCGTCGGGTAGCCAACGTCGACAAACATCGGCCAGCTTGAGTTTGGTGAGGCCGAGGATTCCGGAACAGAATTCCTAGCCGGCGTCAAAGCACAACTGGACAGGGTCATAAGGGGAAGTCACAGGCTCAGAAACAACATCAATAATGTACCCATCATTTATGAGCAACGAAGATGTCGATACTCCAAGATCATTCTTGTTCTTTTAGATAGAACTCAAGTTGGGACAGCCCCTGAGTGCTGTTGGAATGGCCACCAGGGTTAGGGCTTAACGAGGAGTTCTGCACTTGATACGGACACAGGTCGGGATGGAGTTGATTGAGTTTCGCAAAGCTCCTCCCCCTTGCTGTCAACAGTCAATAGCCATCCACTTTGGATGTCGCCATCTCTACCTCATGGTATAGACGCAACGAGCTTGTCCGCCATCGGCTCTCCATGCGAAAGCTAAGCCCGATTAAGGAGTTAGGGAAGCAAGATTGGCCGCCTTTAAGCCCAGGACGTGGCCCGTTAGTCCTGCCGCAAATTAGCAGGTCCCCAGTCGGTTTCCTGAGAGCCAGTGAGCCCTCGCCTGCGTCTTCTCTCGTCAATAGGCCATCGAGCCATGTGCGAAGTTCGTTTCACAGGTCACAGGACCTGCCGTCATGGGGCCCGAGTCCATATGAGACAGTTCGTGGAGTATAACCAACGTCCGTCGCCATTTCGATGAAAAGGAATTAGCTGGAGTTCTCTTCGCTGCGGAGACGGATAGAGCTTTTCTATCACCGCAGTTGATACCCAGGGTCCCGGCCAACCGGCCTGCTGGGAATGGAGCCCGGAAAGCACGTCGATCTTCCAGTCATGGGTCCACGTCATAGTTAGGCCTCACAAGAGAAACGACCGTCTTCGGATGTTGCCGAGCGTCCTCGTGATGGAGTTAGTTTTGGACATGGGTCGAGTAAAGATCACACTAGTCGGCGGTTTGCGGCGTTGTGCCTTTTTTTGCCTGTTGTTTTCTAAGTCACGGTATTTTAGGCTGACAAGGGCGCTGCAGTACTTACTTTTACTGTACACAGCCAAAAACAGAGCAGAGCTTCTTCATTCGGAATGGAAACTGACCGAGATTATGTGGCCTACTTATGAAGATGGAGGTGCCCGTCTCTTTCCCGGGGCTCCGTGCGGCCTCGGCAGCCCGGGACCCACATGAGCCCGGCGATCCGGATCCGCAGGCTCCGGAAGTTGGAGGGTGGAGGGCGGTAAGCGGTCATCAAATCGGCGACCAAGAAATCCAAGAAATCCAAGAAAAAGTTAATTTCTGCCAAGTCTATAAGAGAACGGGATGAGATCATCACCGTAAGCCGATAAGCTTGTCAGCTTGTCTTTGAAGAAAGGGGTGGCTGTTTCAAGTTGAAAAGGGTCTCGCGACGTGGTTGGTCGAGCATGTTGAGCACAAATCGACTGATTCTCCCAATGAGCGGCCTCCAACGAACCTCTTGCCCAATTCGAACATTCCTGGCGGCTGCAGGAACGTGCCCATCCACCACTGAGAAGCCGGAATCAGACCACATCGGGTGGCTGCATTTGCATGCCCCGTTTGCACGCACCATCCACAACTTTGCCCATCTGCCAATGTCTGCCAATGTCTGCCCACTCATGCCATTCTGCCACATGCAGGGTCCACGGCAGGAAGTTGCGAAATTGGGATGACCAGGCACAGCCCAGCCCTGCTCCACTTTGCACGTTTCGAACCGTTGACGATCACCAAGAAAGCCACTTTTGTTTCAACGAACGAGCCAAAAAGCTTCTCCCCACACTCCGGCTGGGCGTCGGAGCCGGCGCGGGTGACCAAGGAATGTTTGGATGCCAAGCGCCGGGGGGGTTAACCCCGGTCTTACTTGTACATTGTGTGGCCCCCAATGTTGTTGGTGTTTCTTCATGTGGGTGCCGTTCAGGGTGCTGTTCAGGGTGCTTTGCTGTTGTGTTGCGATGGACAAAGTGACAAACTAAACTCCAGACCGAACCGATCGGCGTGGGACTTCCATCCCCCCTGAGAGTCCCTGAGTCGGGGAGATTCCACGAAATGCCATTTCCAGGAAATGCGATATGAAGCGCATGAAGATTGCAGCCAAACCCGCTCCTCGCATCCACTCCTTCTCATTCCCATTCCAACACCGCCTGGGGCCCTGACTACCATTTCATTCTTTACAAGACCGCGTCTTTCTTTACACTCGTCGTCTGCGGGCGAGTTGGGTCTCGGTTCTCTCATTCAACAACCATCACATTTCATTTTTTACTATCGGTAGCCAGGCTCCCAACCGGACTTCGTTTCCTTCGTTTCTTACCGAGGTCTTCTCCTGGTTGGGTTATCCCTCATAATTCAACGAAAAGAATCATCATGAAATTCGCCGCCTTCGCCTTCGCGGCGTCGCTGGTCGCTGCCGCGCCCCGGGTCGTCCAGGTGCACCCCTCCGACATCCGGCCCCGCCGCCTCGGAGGATCCAGGTTCAAGCTGCCCCAGATTCACAATGACCTGTTCCGCCAGCACGGCAGAGGGCCCAGGGCTCTCGCCAAGGCCTACGAGAAGTACGACATCGAGCTGCCTACCGACCTGATCGAGGTCGTGCAGAAGATCCTCGGTGAGCTCGGCATCAAGCCGTCTCCCAAGAAGGTCACCGGCTTCCGGCCCCATGGCAACGGCGGGGCGCCGTACACCAACGAGACGGATGACCAAGGTGCGTCTTTGATGCCTTCCCACTGTTAGCCAAGCTTCATAACTCACTCACAAACTCCCATAGGCGAGGTCTCCGCCACCCCCCAGCTCTTCGACGTCGAGTATCTGGCTCCCGTCGAGATCGGCACGCCGCCGCAGACGCTGATGCTCAACTTCGACACGGGCTCGTCGGACCTGTGGGTGTTCAGCTCCGAGACCCCCAGCAACCAGCAGGGCGGACAGAAGTTGTACGAGATCGAGAAGAGCAGCACGGCCACCAAGCTCGACAACCACACGTGGTCGATCCACTACGGCGACGGCAGCCGCTCCTCGGGTAACGTCTACCTCGACACCGTCAGTGTCGGCGGCGTCAACGTCTTCCAGCAGGCCGTCGAGTCGGCCACCTTTGTGTCGTCGTCCTTTGTCAGCGACGCCGCCTCCTCGGGCCTGCTCGGCCTCGCCTTCGACTCCATCAACACCGTCGCCCCCAAGAAGCAAAAGACCTACATCTCCAACGCGCTGGAATCGCTCGAGATGGGCCTGTTCACCGCCAACCAGAAGAAGGCCGAAGGTAACCCCCCCTCTATTCCCGCCCCCTCAGCACAACACACCCCAACTAACAATTCCCACACCTCCCAGCG